ATGCAATGAATAATATTGATTACATTAATTGATTAATATGACGGGGTAATGCATTGATGGTGATATTGATAACAAGAGTAATTATAATTCAAATCAATGATAATAGTAATGATAATAATAATGAAAATAATGAAAATGGCGATAATGGTGATAATAATTGTTGTGAGATTAATAATGATAATAATAATAATAACAATAATGATAACAATATAATAACAGCAATAATAATGATAATAATAATAATAATAATAATAATAATAATAATAATATTGATAATGACAACAGTGATAATAATGGAAATAACTAAGGTATCTTTACACAGGTAGAGACACTCCATCTTGGTGAAAATCCTAGTTGGCAACTTCCCATTTAAAGGTGATGAACAGGGCGCTTCATCACCTTTATAATTTGCATTTGTGTCTTCATTTTTACCATTGTTATTACTATTTTTTTCATAGAAAATACACTAAAGTAACACTCACCATAAAACATCTCACAATTGTTGTAGTAATAATAATAATCATAAGAACAATGAGGATAATAGTAATAGTAACAATAGTACCAATAACGATGGTGGTAATAATTATGATCATAGTAATATACGATAGTAATTATGATAAAAATAATATATGATAATAATGATAATGATAACGATAATGATTTTAATAATGAGAATGACAGTAATAATGATAACAATAGTAATAGTACTGATAAAGTTATTGATAATGATAATGACAATAATAATTATAAGAATAATAACAATAGTAATGATAATTATCGGAACCCAAAGAAATTCAACAAAAATAAAATAATAATAAAAAAAGAAGATACACCTCTCTCCCTCTTTCGCTTTCCGTCTCCCCCTCCCTCTAACTTTCCCCCTCCCTCTATCTGCCCCCTTCCCCTTCTTTTTCTCTTCAAGCCTTCCTTTCACTCCCTTTCTCCCTCTCCCTCTTTTTCTCCTTTCTTTCCATTCCCTCTTTTAACTTCTCTCTTAACCTTCCTCCTTGTATAGTCGTTTAAAATTGTAAATAATATGTGTATAAACTGACAGTCTAACTGCTTCAGTGCAGTGTACTTTCCTCGAAGAAGAATGGTAATAATAGTAATAATGATAATCATGTTAATATCAATAATGACAACAATAAAAAGAACATTAACAACACCAGCAATAATGATAATAATAATAGTAATAGAGTAGGATTCTCATAGATTCATTGTTAAATGCACACACGTGTGCGCCATTCTTTAACATTTTCGTTGTTAATTATCACCCCATTTTACATCAAACTGAATTGACTTCAAGCACTCACTCACATGGAATGTGGTTTCAGGCATTTAATAACCAATATCGATCAAAACGAAGGGTCTTCAAGTCTCCAGCCACATGATAACGGACAGACGGGCGGGCCATTATGCTTACGACAAATTATTATATATCATTACTATCGTGTCTTTTTCATTATTATTATCATTATCATTATCACAACCATTATATTAGTAACGACTAGAAGCACTCAGAGCACATGCCTCCGCCAAAGCAACAGGGTGACTGATGCAAACATTTTAAAAATTCCTGGATCCAGATCATGATCCGGATCACCACCAAAAATTAATAGCATCTAAGTTTGGCAAAGACACACACCTCTGGTAAAAAAAATCATAACTTTTTGAGTTATCCTGCTAACCAACGAAAAAACAAACAAACGCCACCAAAAAGTTAACCTCCTTGGCGTAGGTATTAATGCTGTTACTACTGATAATAATACCCAGAGACCTTGAAGCACGGGGTTGCGTCCGGAGGGTCTCGTCTGTCTGATGGGGAGGAGGGCCTCTTCAGCCTTGGAGGGCAAGCTTTTAGTGAGGGTGACGCTAGAAACACCCAGTGGTTGTGTCACCTTATTACCACTATCCTCAATATGAATGAAATACAAAACAATAGTGATTTAGACAAAATCACTATGTAGGGGCTCTTACCCGGCAGGTAAGCTGTCATCCACTTAAGCTAGAAGGAAATGGGCAAAAGTGAAAATTGTTGTCATGGAATGTTACTACCAAAGTAAACCAGTCGACAGTAATGGTGTACTAGTCACAAGTTACAGGCAGAGAATGGGTGGAGAGGACGGTTTGAACCAACGGAACAAAGAGAGTAACCAAACAAGAGCGAACCAGAAAGAATGGGTAGCAAACAAACATCGAGATAAGGAGTATGAGAAAAATCGCACGGGAAGAAGACGCTGGAGGGAATGGTGGCGAAGGATCCGTAGACGGTGGATTGGAAAGTGTACGGCGAGAGTATCCGGGAGGAAGAAGAGGCTGTAGGTGAAGTCGAAGAGATAGGCCTGTATGTTGATCCTGAGGTACCTGAGGTAACACCAGGGGAAAGAGGAATTATAAATCTAATTAAGGAAATGAGTTTAATGATGGAACACTTACAATTAAGGACCAACTCGTAATGGACGAAGCTGCCCCGAAGGGCTTCAAGAGGAGACGAACCAAC